AAAATTCAGTTATAAAATTAACATAAAACTAAATGATAGGATTTTTTAATGTTTTCACCATAAAGAAATATTAAATGTTTGAGGAGTTAGATATATCTAACCTGACTGTGTAGATGTGTTACATGTATGGCAACATCATAGCACCCCCATAAATATGTACAAATTGCATGTGTGTTAATTTTTTAGTTAAAAAACAAATCAATCCTAAATGTGGGCTCTTGGCACAAACAAATGCAAAAGTATTCTCAAAGGAGACTTTCACAACCTGGGAAACACAGGATATCACAAAAGCAGTTACTGCCTGCTAAACACAGGGAATACTCATTAAAGAATCTCAGCAAAAACTTCTAAACAGTTTTAATTGCTTTAGCTAAACATACCATTTAAAAAGAACCTTAGAAAACGGGACAATCATAATTGACTAACTAGTCTCAGTATTTTCTGAAAGGAAAAATAATAGACCAACCCATATCAAATTATTTTCCAGGACCAGGCACAGGTGGGGTGGAGCACAGTGGTGTACGAAGGAAATGCTACAGCACCACAGCTACCTACATTTTACTGTCTCACTGAATTGTTTTATAATTCTCAGTCTGTAAGATTACACTAAAAATAAGTGCATGTTTATTTTTGTGATAGTAAGGAAAGTTTGGAAAGAATATTAAATAAATGTTAATAGGTAATGGAAAATCCTATAGGAGAGTATACATCAGGATCTTAAAATATATTTAACTCAGTTCAGTATTTTCATTTTTGGCACTAAAAATATACTGATCCAAATTCATGTTGTCAGCTTTTCTATTTATCATTTCTACTTTATATACTTCTTGGGATATGAAATATGCTTTGCTATTTGAATTCAAAAATTTATTTGGAGAACTAAATAAGCATATTTGAACCCCAAAGTACTCATTTGCCTGTAAATTTGAGAAAATGCCTATTTTATGGATATATTTTTCCTATTCAAAATATTTTATAAAATATTGGCCCAATAAATGTTATCAGTTTAACAGAAATAATATTTCAATGAATGATAATCTGTAACTATTCATTGATTTCTTTTCCCCAAAATTACAGGTAAAATAAACCAAAATTGAAAAACCATAGTAAAATCTAAAGTAAATGTCAATTAGGGTAGGCATTTGATACAATGATTATGACATTGACAGGGAACCCTGCATCACATATCAGAGTGTCTGGGTTTGAGTCCTGGTTGGGCATCCGATTCCAGCTCACTGAAAGGCAGCAGGTGATCGCCCAACTGCATGGGTCCCTGCCACCCATGTAGGAGACCCTGATGAAGTACTTGTGCTGGCCTCAGCCAAGCCCAGACTCAGCTGTTTTGGGCATTTGGGGCGTGAACCAGTGGATAGAAGATCCATCTGTGCCTCTCTTTCAAATCTGTTCTCTTTATATTTATCAAAATGTAAAATTAAAAAAAAAAGTCTTCAAAAGTTTAACTTAAAAAGTAAAATATATTGCAAAAGTATTAAAATTCTGTAACTTCTGTGTGAATAGTGTATGAAATTTTCATTATAACAATTAGAAAGATTCACATTATTAAACATGAGAGGTCCTTGAATTTCAAGTCTAGTAGGGCAGAGTGAGAACATATTGAAGTATTTCAATTATAGTTTAAAGGTTTCCTTTGAGGACAGCCACATGAATATATTGAATAAATTCTTAATAAAATATGTAGAAGAGAGACTGCCAATTGGTAACAATAACTAAAAAATGATTTCTTTATAAACATTTTCTAAAACATTTGAAAGTTATATATTGTAATTATGATATAAGCTTATGTGGTATAACACTTAAAAATCTTAGGTTTCTTCTAGAATTGTAGTGTGAGTATGCATATATTTCAAAGAATTTTGTGCCAGAAAACTAATATTTTAATTACATTATCCATGAGCTTTCTGAGGTACCTCTTGTATGCCTCAAAAAATTAAATGTTGGCTACACGTTGCTTAGAATCAACATTCAATTCATCATTAACATTTTCCATGGAAAAGAAGTCAAATAATTTAAATACCCATTATGGTTTATGTTGTTCTGCAACTTCTTATGTTTAAGTCATGCACATAGAAGGAGCTTCTGAGCTAATAATTTGTTTTGAATGGGACAGTGATAGAAAGCTTTTGTTTTATGAGTGTGTGTGTGTGTGTATATGTGTGTATGTGTGTATAAAGCTTTTAGCTACATTATCTCATTTGAAAGCTCATAAAGTAGGAAATAATATGCCTCCATTTTCTGAATTTGATTAAACATCGAAGGATTAAATATTTGCTCATTTTAAACCAGCTCTAAATACCTAAGTCAGGGGTTGATTATACTATCTCCTAAAGTCACAGTGAACTTAAAAGAAATAGAATGAAATGATGTGAAGAAATTAATGCTCTTGTGGGAGAACGTTTGGGAAAAAAAGTAATGTCATGTGTACATGTGTAATGCTCATCAATCAATTGCATAAGATACACCTTCCTAAGATTATGTTTATAAAAATGTTTCTGTTTCTTCTCGGGAATTTGCCTATGAGACTACCTTTTTTATAACATACTTATGAAAATTACTGATTTACCTTACTTTTCACATTACGTTGGTTGTAAATACATTGAAGTAAAAAAAAAATGGCAATAGATTGGGAGGGGTTCTTTTCAATACTCATTAATTCATATAGAACATTTTGAAATTAGTTATACTGACTTTCCATATAGATGGATAATATTCAAGGTTGAGGCTGGCACCATGGCTTACTTGGCTAATCCTCTGCCTGCGGCACCAGTACATGGGGTTCTAGTCCCGGTCTGAGCACCGGATTCTGTCCCAGTTGCCCCTCTTCCAGGCCAGCTCTCTGCTGTGGCCAGGGAGTGCAGTGGAGGATGGCCCAAGTCCTTGGGCCCTGCACCCGCATGGGAGACCAGAAGCACCTGGCTCCTGGCTTCCAATCAGCACGGTGTGCCAGCCACAGCCGCCATTGGAGGGTGAACCAATGGTAAAGGAAGACCTTTCTCTCTGTCTCTCTCTCTCACTGTCCACTCTGCCTGTCAAAAAACAAACAAACAAGCAAACAAAAAAAAAAAAATATTCAAGGTTGAGTATCTTAAAAGGTGGACTGAATGCCAGACTCCCAATTTGAAACTGGGTAGAGATAGAGCTCTGAACTTTTTCTGACAATCTATGGTTGGTCAGGGATGAGAAGGATGGAGAAAGAGAAGGAGAAAGAGTGAAAGTGGGGGGAAGGGAGGGAGAAAAAAAGGGATAGACAGAGAGACATAAAACAGAGCTTCACAAGCCTCATTGTAGAATAGTCACATGTTGAATCTTCGAAAATCTCAAATAACTCATCTTACTCAACAACTAGCCCTGAATAAAAGCAGACTTGGAATGTACTGTTTCAGCCATAACATAGGCATATATTACAGCCTATCAGATTTGAATGGATTTGCCTTCAAATTAAAAATGCACAGCTTCCTTCTAGGGTTCTCTAGTTGAAAACCTGATAGCACAGCAATCTAAGCTGTCATAATTAAACTCCTCATTTCACCCCATCCATGTCTCCAAAGACCTACTTTTTCTGTAGTCTTTAACTTCAGTACTGGCAAATACGCTCTGCTAAGCACTGAACTGAGGAACTCGGTCACTTAATTCAGTTACAAAATCTTAGTTTTTGACTTTCCTTTTTTTCATTTAATAATCAGTCTCTCAGCAATTTCTGTCAACTCTCCTGTCAGATTTTTCCCACAACCTATCAGTCCTTCCCACCTGCCCTCTACTATCATTACCAGTCGTGCCAGTGCAAACCTTTAATATATTTCATTACTATTTTGAAAATAGCTTTCTGGGCTAGTGGATATCATTCCACTGATTTCTCCTTCTCCCCTTCTCTCTGTCCCCACAATACTTTGTATTTCTTTTCCACTCAGCAGTCAAAGATATCTTTGCAAATACCAATCTACCTGTCCTTCTCAACATAGTCATTCTCTAGGTCTCTCAATGTGTTTGAATTTTCTTCATGGCAGTTATCAATCACTTGGCATATACTTATTTGCTTGTGTATTCTTGGTTTCTTCCCATTGTAATGAAAACATTTTGTGAGCACAGACTTGCCTTTTATCACTTGAACCATATTTAGCTTATTGTAATCTTCAAACAAAATTTGTTAAATAAATCAATAAAAGAATATACTTCAGGTGTCTCCTAACTCAAAGTTTTCACTGATCAATATAGTGGCTTAAGTGCTCATCTCTCATGCTTCAGGGCCATAGCATGCATTTCTATCTCCGTATTCCATATTTTTTTTTTTGACAGGCAGAGTGGATAGTGAGAGAGAGAGAAAGGTCTTCCTTTGCCGTTGGTTCACCCTCCAATGGCCGCTGCGGCCAGCGCGCTGCAGCCCGTGCCCTGCGCTGATCCGATGGCAGGAGCCAGGTACTTATCCTGGTCTCCCATGGGGTGCAGGGCCCAAGCACCTGGGCCATCCTCCACTGCACTCCCGGGCCACAGCAGAGAGCTGGCCTGGAAGAGGGGCAACCGGGACAGAATCTGGCGCCCCAACCGGGACTAGAACCTGGTGTGCCGGCGCCGCAAGGCAGAGGATTAGCCTAGTGAGCCGCAGCGCTGGCCTCCGTATTCCATATTAATTCATAAGTTTGGCAAACCTTCCCCATTAAACTGATCTTTAAGAATGGGAATTGTCTTTCTCATCTTTTTTACTTTCAGACTTATCATAGTGATCAAAATCTAACACATGTTCATCACACATTGGAATTAAAATAATGAATTAATGGATAAAGGATGAGCATTCCTTAGAAATACTCTGTCTTTTCCTATAGTCATTAATCACAACAGTCCTTTGAATATAGAATGTTATATTACAAATATATCTTGGTGAAATATGTATACACTTGTACACAGTGCTTAGCAAATGCTTTGTTGTTTGAGCTTTGTTAGTGAAAGTCGGTGTCTTTCAATAATTGAATTTTTTTGTGTGTTTTCAGAGATCATCTATAGCTGGGTCTTTAATGAGTTCCCTTCCTTTGTGGCAGAAGATAGTCGGCGGTTCATTTCTCAGGAAACAGGCAACCTTTATATTTCGAAAGTCCAAGCTTCAGACGTTGGCAGCTATATTTGTCTGGTGAAAAACACAGTGACAAATGCTCGAGTACTCAGTCCTCCAACACCACTCACTCTACGAAATGATGGTAAGTTGCATGGCCCAGAGTTAAATGGTCAGCCATCTCAAATGGGAAAAATAAAGATATATTGGTGTTTTCTTAAAGCACTTGAAATTAGCACAAATAAAATAAAGATACACTTGCTGTACTTGGAAACATTTTTGGTTTGAGATTATGCATGCTTTGGAATAAAAATTTTGCCTTAGGAATGTGATGATCTGTGGATGAGAAATATTCACTAGGATATGACTCTAATGCCAGGAAGGGAGCAAGCATCTGAAAAAAAATTATAATAAAGACTCCATAGCTCTTTTCCTTGCTCTTTAGTTCCTCTATATAGCATATGTGTATGAATTGCAGGCATTTTATGGGTTCACTTTTCATTACATTTTATTTTAGCTGGCTTCAAATGGAATGTTCAGCTTTTAATACTTCATGGTGTAGTTATAATTGTTATTATTACTTTTCCAATAATAGGAGTACTTGGAACCTTAACTTTTAAGTGCAATTCAGGCAGAAATGATGATTCTATAATTAGAGGTATTGCCATACATCTAAGATATCTTCAAGTTTAAACACCTCATTTGTATTTATGGACAATTGCAGTTAAGCATTGCATTAAAGAAGTCAAAATGTGTATTACAGTTGATATATGATACGTGGCTCACTCTATCATGTAATAAAAAAATCTGTGAAGATATTGCTAAGAAGTGAACATGAGGGATTGGCATGGTGGTGTAGCAAGTAAAGCCACTATCTGCAACACCTGCATCCTATATGGGTGCAGGTTGAAGTCCTGGCTACTCCACTTCTGACCTGGAAGAAGTAGTAGAGGATAATTCAGGTGATAAGGCCCCTGCCATCCATATAGGAGACCCAGATGAAGCTCCTGGTTCCTGGTTTCTGCCAGTCCTAACTGTTGTGGCCATCTGGAGAGTAAACAGTGGGTAGAATCTCTGTCTCTCTCCTCTCTACTTCGTCCTCTCTCTCTCAAATAAATAAATCTTTAACAAAAATAAGTGAACACAAGAATTGATTGTAAGTTTTTTAAACAATGTATTTCCTCATTGTTCTTTTTTTTTCATAATTCCCAACATATTTTATTTTTTTTAACTTTTATTTAATGAATATACGTTTCCAAAGTACGAATAATGGATTACTATGGCTTCCCCCCCATACCGTTCCTCCCACCCACAACCCTCCCCTTTCCCACTCCCTCTCCCCTTCCATTCACATCAAGATTCATTTTCGATTATCTTAATATACAGAAGATCAGCTTAGTATACATTAAGTAAGGATTTCAACAGTTTGCTCCCACACAGAAACATAAAGTGAAAAATAATAGATGATTTTTTTTAAATGATGATGAAATCAGATCAGACCTATTGTCATGTTTAATCCCAGTGAGAGTCAAGTTGGGAGTTGATAGTTTCTTTTCTTTTCTTTTCTTTTCTTTTCTTTTTTTTTTTTTTTTTTTACAGAGGATCAGTTTAGTATGCATTAAGTAAAGATTTCAACAGTTTGCACCCCCATAGAAACACAAAGTGAAATATATTATTTGAGTACTCGTTATAGCATTAAATCTCAATGCACAGCACATTAAGGACAGAGATCCTACATGAGGAGTAAGTGCACAGTGACTCCTGTTGTTGACTTTACCAGTTGACACTCCTGTCTATGGCATCAGTAATCTCCCTATGCTCCAGTCATGAGTTTCCAAGGCTATGGAAGCCCTCTGAGTTCTCCGACTCTTATCTTGTTTAGACAAGGTCATAGTCAAAGTGGAGGTTCTCTCCTCCCTTCAGAGAAAGGTACCTCCTTCTTTGAAGACCTGTTCTTTCCACTGGGATCTCACTCACAGAGATCTTTTGCCAGAGTGTCTTGGCTTTCCATGCCTGAAATACTCTCATGGGCTTTTCAGCCAGATCTGAATGCCTTTAGGGCTGATTCTGAGGCCAGAGTGCTATTTAGGACATCTGCCATTCTATGAGTCTGCTGAGTATCTCACTTCCCATGTTGGATCACTCTCCCCTTTATTTATTCTATCGGTTAGTGTTAGCAGGTACTAGACTTGCTTATGTGCTCCCTTTGACTCTTAGTCCTTTCATTATGATCAATTGTGAACTGAAATTGATCACTTGGACTAATGAGATGGCATTGGTACATGCCACCTTGATGGGATTAAATTGGAGTCCCCTGGTATGTTTCTAACTCTACCATTTGGGGCAAGTCAGCTTGAGCATGTTCCAAATTATATATCTCTTCCCTCTCTTATTCCTACTCTTATGTTTAACAGGGATCACATTTCAGTTAAATTTCAACACTTAAGAATAACTGTGTATTAATTACAGAATTAAACCAGTCATATTAAGTAGAACAGACAAAAAAAACTACTAAGAGGGATAATGTATTAAGTTGTTCATTAACAGTCAGGGCTATGCTGATCAAGTCACCGTTTCCCATAGTGTCCATTCCACTTCAACAGGTTTCCTTTTTGGTGTTCAGTCAGTTGTCACCGATCAGGGAGAACATATGGTATTTGTCCCTTTGGGACTGGCTTATTTCACTCAGCATGATGTGTTCCAGATTCCTCCATTTTGTTGCAAATGACTGGATTTCGTTGTTTCTTACTGCAGTATAGTATTCTAAAGAGTACATATCCCATAATTTCTTTATCCAGTCTACCGTTGATGGGCATTTAGGTTGGTTCCAGGTCTTAGCTATTGTGAATTGAGCTGCAATAAACATTAGGCTGTAGACCACTTTTTTGTTTGCCAATTTAAATTCCTTTGGGTAAATTCCAAGGAGTGGGATGGCTGGGTCGAACGGTAGGGTTATCTTCAGGTTTTTGAGGAATCTCCAGACTGACTTCCATAGTGGCTTGACCAGTTTGCATTCCCACCAACAGTGGGTTAGTGTCCCTTTTTCCCCACATCCTCGCCAGCATCTGTTGTTGGTAGATTTCTGAATGTGAGCCATTCTAACCGGGGTGAGGTGGAACCTCATTGTGGTTTTGATTTGCATTTCTCTGATTGCTAATGACCTTGAACATTTTTTCATGTGCCTGTTGGCCATTTGGATTTCCTCTTTTGAAAAATGTCTATTGAGGTCCTTGGCCCATCTCTTAATTGGGTTGTTGGTTTTGTTTTTGTGGAGTTTCTTGATCTCTTTGTAGATTCTGGTTATTAACCCTTTATCTGTTGCATAGTTTGCAAATATTCTTTCCCATTCTGTCGGTTGTCTCTTCACTCTCCTGACTGTTTCTTTTGCAGTACAGAAACTTCTCAATTTGATGCAATCCCAATAGTTAATTTTGGCTTTGACTGCCTGTGCCTCCCGGGTCTTTTCCAGAAACTCTTTGCCTGTGCCAATATCTTGAAGGGTTTCTCCAATGTTCTCTAGTAACTTGATGGTGTCAGGTCGTAGATTTAGGTCTTTAATCCATGTTGAGTGGATTTTTGTGTAAGGTGTAAGGTAGGGGTCTTGCTTCATGATTCTGCACGTGGAAATCCAATTTTCCCAGCACCATTTATTGAATAGACTGTCCTTTCTCAAGGAATTAGTTTTAGATCCTTGATCAAATATAAGTTGGCTGTAGATGTTTGGGTTGATTTCTGGTATTTCAATTCTGTTCCATTGGTCTATCCATCTGTTTCTGTACCAGTACCATGCTGTTTTGATTACAACTGCCCTGTAGTATGTCCTGAAATCTGGTATTGTGATGCCTCCGGCTTTGTTTTTGTTGTACAAGATTGCTTTAGCTATTCGAGGTCTCTTGTGCCTCCATATAAATTTCAGCACCAATTTTTCCAGATCTGAGAAGAAGGTCTTCGGTATCTTGATTGGTATTGCATTGAATTTATAAATTGCTTTTGGGAGAATGGACATTTTGATGATATTGATTCTTCCAATCCATGAGCATGGAAGATTTTTCCATTTCTTGGTATCCTCTTCTATTTCTTTCTTTAAGGTTTTGTAATTTTCATCGTAGAGATCTTTAACGTCCTTGGTTAAGTTTATTCCAAGGTATTTGATTGTTTTTGTAGCTATTGTGAATGGGATTGATCTTAGAAGTTCTTCCTCAGCCATGGCATTGTCTGTGTATACAAAGGCTGTTGATTTTTGTGCATTGATTTTATACCCTGCTACTTTGCCAAACTCTTCTATGAGTTCCAATAGTCTCTTGGTAGAGTTCTTTGGGTCCCCTAAATAAAGAATCATGTCATCTGCAAAGAGGGATAGTTTGAGTTCTTCCTTCCCAATTTGTATCCCTTTAATTTCTTTTTCTTGCCTAATAGCTCTGGCTAGAACCTCCAGAACTATATTGAATAGCAGTGGTGAGAGTGGACATCCCTGTCTGGTCCCAGATCTCAGTGGAAATGCTTCCAACTTTTCCCCATTCAATAGGATGTTGGCTGTGGGTTTTTCATAGATTGCTTTGATTGTATTGAGGAATGTTCCTTCCAAACCCAGTTTGCTTAGAGTTTTCATCATGAACGGGTGTTGTATTTTATCAAATGCTTTCTCGGCATCTATTGAGAGAATCATATGGTTTTTCTTCTGCAGTCTGTTAATGTGGTGTATCACATTGATTGTCTTGCGCACATTAAACCATCCCTGCATACCAGGGATAAATCCCACTTGGTCTGGGTGGATGATCTTTCTGATGTGTTGTTGCATTCTATTGGCGAGAATTTTATTGAGGATTTTTGCATCTATGTTCATCAGGGATATTGGTCTGTAATTCTCTTTCAGTGCTGCATCTTTTTCCGGCTTAGGAATTAAGGTGATGCTGGCTTCATAGAAAGAATTTGGGAGGATTCCCTCTTCTTCGATTGTTCTGAATAGTTTGAGAAGAATTGGAGTTAGTTCTTCTTTAAATGTCTGGTAGAATTCAGCAGTGAATCCATCTGGTCCTGGGCTTTTCTTTGTTGGGAGGGCCTTTATTACTGTTTCAATTTCTGTCTCAGTTATGGGTCTGTTTAGGTTTTCGATGTCTTCCTGGTTCAATTTAGGTAGGTTGCATG